CCCCCGCTGAGCGAGGTCTACCTTGGGAAGACTTCATGCAGATTATCGTGAAGGCTCAAGTTTTGCACAAAAGCAGGAGCTCAGCCGAGAACTCCTCTATCTCTGCACTTTACTCAGCAAAATAGATGGACGTTACAGGAGGCTTAATAACCAGAATAATCAGAAAACTATAAGAAACAAACTCTAAAACAAAATCAAATGGAGAACTGGGCCCCAAGAGAAATTCCAGAATGCTCACTTATTTTAAGGTTGCCAGTGAGGGAGGGAACTGCTAGCTTACTTGCAAGGAGACCTTGGGGGCCCATGCTGGGGCAGGAGCAGTAACGACCTGTGGTAACCGGTGAGCAGGGCATGCCCTTCTCTAAATGTATGTCTTTGAAGTCTCAAACAAATATTAAATTTAGTGTCCTGCTTGAGAAGTGGGATGGCTGGAAAAAGGAACTGGATGTTCCCATGCATCACCAAGTTTGCAGAGGAAATAAAAACTGCTGTTGGAATTTGATACGCCCATCAAGTATTCATGAAGCCAGCTATAATAAAGGGAAATATCTTAGTTCTAATCTGTTCTACAGAGTGGAAACAGAGTTAACAGTATTCCAGTCATCTATGAGCTGTCTATGACCCCGCCCTTTTCCAGAGCTGAAGCTGGCTTTATGTCCATCATTTTCTCTCCTACGTTTTCCTGCACAGACATCCACGCGCACAGGCTGATGACAATGTCAGAGAAGAGCCACCCTCTGCCAGGGCAGAGCCCTCATTGCTACACTCAGACTCATCTGGTCAGACTAGCTCAAGCTTCATTATTCTCACTAATGAATTCACTAAATATTGAGGCGGCGGAATTTGGCCATGTAAGCATGGCAACTGTCTCCTGTGCCTACCAGGGCTGGGCGGGAGATACAGACGGCAAAGCCAGCCCTGAGACCGAAGAGCAGACTGCACCGTTGGCAGTGGCCAAGTGTGAGTGTCTCACGGCTGAGGGCCATTCTGCTCCAGCTGAGGCTACCGCCAACGTGGCCAGAGTTAGGTTTCCCCGGATGTCAAAACTGTGTATGAAATCTCCTGCTATTTAAATGTTACCCTACTTTAAAAACCTGAAAGTGGTGTCAAGCAAACAAAAAACAAATGATTTCTGGTGCAATGAGCTCTTATTAGGCTTAAAAGAAAAAAGAAGTGAGTGTTCTCTAAGATCTCATCTGCTTCTGAAGTCTAAACCTGTGGTCTTCTTTACATTGTTTATGCCATAAAAGCCGAGGACCAGTGACTATGTGAAAAACAGCAATTGTGAGTGAAAACCAAGCGGCTTCTTACACAGCGGGGAGACAGGCAGGCCTGAGTCGCCCGGAGCACCACCCCGTCCCTGCTGAAACGTGGCCACTGGCGGGCAGAGCCAGCCTCTGGGGCCAGGGGCCAGCAGGTACCTCAGGTGTTTCCAGGGAGAGCACATGGCGCGAGACCACAAATAGGGCTCAGTTTTAGCAAAGTAAGAAACTGGTTTCTTACCTCAAAGTCGATGAGCTGTAAATCGGCCACGAGGGTGCTGAGCAGCCCGCTGTTATACAGTTCTTGCGCGAGCTGTGCTACTGCCTCCGTCTGCGGCTCTTTTTCATTTGTGCCATACAGAATTTCCTTCATGGCGACCAGATTTTTGGAAACTTCTTCTGTAGCCTGATTTTGGGGCAGAAAAGAAAAACAATTTTATTAGTCATGTAAACACACCCACATGTGTTAAATACCTTATCTCTATACTACTTACCCAGGGACCCACGTACAAGAGGAAAGCTGGGCCGGCCCACTCCTGCCCTCAGGAGCTTAACACGTGCACAGTGGAGGCAGGGTCCTCGGGGAAAACCGTACGCTGGGCCACGGGCAATGGCAGGCGCGGAGAGCGGGACAGTGAATGGAGGCGCAACTGCCCCTCACAGGCAAGGGAAGGGAGCCCACGAGAGGCGCATACGCTCACCCCAGGGCAGATGCTGACTTGCCAGAGCCTGGAAAGAGGCTTAGGGAAGCACAACGGCCAGGTGAGTGGGAGAGGTCTGTCAGAGAAAAGGCACAGAGGGGCGAGGGAGGAACAGCACTAAAGTCACTTCTGGCCAAGATGGAGGACAGGGTTCGATGGGATACCCCACATGAAACAGAGTGGAAGAACAGGAGAAAACGTGAAGTGGTGAATTTTAAACAGCACTGCGATCTCGGAAAGGGCAATGCCCCACGTGACGTGCACAACTAGCTGACTGCTCCGGAAGCACGCCCGGGTGGCGTCGGGAGGAGCGCGCAGTGCACAGGTGGTGCCCGTGACAGCTCGGGACTGTGGAGGCCGAAGGGACTGGACTACAGGTCCGGCCACAGAGAGAAGTGCGCACTAGAGACCTGGGGCGGCCCCTTCCTCAGCTGAGGCGTGGGAAGCTCACGCACGCGAGGAGGGCGCCAGGGCTGGGGCAGCCACAGGGCGGGGCGGCCAGGGCCGAGCCTCGGCCGTTACACAGTTAGGCCGAGACGAAACTGCTTGGCGCCGCACACAACAGAAAGGTTGGTGGGTGGGAAAACACGCCGGGGTGAGCAACACCCAGCGCAGAAAACAGCCTTGCAAATCACCAAGATGACAAAAGTAATAAACACGAACCTGGAAAGTTACTATAAATGTATTTAATATATTCAGGGGGAAAAACACGCATGTTAGTAGAGGTATGAAAGGCATTTCTGAAAAAGACTCAAACACTTAGAAATAAAAATTACAGTAGCTAAGGCAAAAGGTTCACTGGATGGATGGGATTAGCAGCAACTAGGTGCTGCAGAAGAAATGAGGGAGCAGGAAACAGCAATAAAAATTCCTAATGGGCCAAGGTTGGGCGGGGCGGGGCTGAAGGGAGGCCACACCTGTGGGTTACAGGCCTGCTAAGGGGCAACCACAGTGCTCAAAGAGGGGAGGAGAGAAAATACTTCAAGGCGTGACAGAAAACTTTCCAAACATGATGAAATCTATAATCCTGTGCAGCCAAGAGTTTTTTTTAAATTTCCTAAAATCAAGTGACAGGAAGAAAAATATGCCAAGGCATGGAATAAATGAATTGCTTAAATGTTAGGAGAAAATTTTAAAAAGCAATCTGAGGAGGCCCACAATGGTGGCACAACGCTTAAAGCACAGCACTGCAAGCTTGTGGCAGCCACTTCACCATGAGTTTGATCCCGGGGCCCCAAGGTGACCACACGGCGCGGCAGACCCCTCCTGACCCACCCACTGCTCCCCTCAGCAGTGTACATCATCAATCTGCCTGTTCTGCTCCCAGATCTGCCTTGAGGCCCCTGCACCTCTGGCCTGCACCCCAGTTCTGTATGCGTAAATATATATTAAAAAAAGGCAATCTGAGGGAAAAAAACATTACAAGAAATAAAAATAATCAGTTTTCTTGATAAAAATGAGGCAAATCAAAAGGTAGGAGGACATCATGAAAGTTGCAGGAGGAAAAGGACACCTTAGAATTCCGCGTTGAGCCAAAAACCAAAAAATTTCGGAGACACAGAAAATCTAGAAGATGGTGTCACCAGCAAACCTGCACTGCAGGAAAGTGGTTAGTCGTCCTATGGGCAGAAGGAAAACGACCAGGATGAAATCCGCACCCAGACACAGGCATGACGAGCACTAGGGCTAAGTGTGGGTGTAAACAGGGCTACTTTTACATTATGTCTTAAATGTCTGAAAACACTAGGCTGTTTAAAATAACTGTATTCTGAGGTTATGCTATCAGCAGAATAAAAACACAGCCAACACCAGCCCAAAGGGGTGCATGGAGCCTGGTGCTGCCAGGGTCTCACAGTGGAGCAGCACAGCATTCCTGAGGACAGACTCACAAGCTGAAGGGACACAGGTCTGAAATCAAGCATCTAGATGGTTAAAAACAAACTCCCGGCCCTCCCTGGTGGCGCAGCGGGTTAAAGCACAGCACTAAGAATCTAAAGCCGCTTCCGCATGAGTTCGATCCCTGCCTGCCCCGGAGGTGACCACATGGCGCGGCAGACCTCTCCTGGCCCGCCCGCTGCTCCCCTCAGCAGTGGACTTCGTCGATCTGCCTGTTCTGCTCCCCGCTCTGTCTCTGGTGAAGCTTCTCACCGCCCCTGAGCCTCTGGCCTGTACCCCAGTTCTGTATGCACAAATAAATAAATCTTCAAAAAAATAAATAAAAATAAAAACAAACTCCCACAGTTACAGCTAAGACACCAAAAGGGCGACGAGTATTGGTAGAATACTAAAGCTATATGAATTCATAAAGGTTATAAAAAGGCAGTTAAGATCAGAAATATACTGCACCATAGACTCAAAGAATTATGTGTACTTAATTTTACCCCAGGAATCATCTAGTCTGTGTTCTGCAACCTTCTAGTAGGACCAAATGATTATGTTGCTTCATCTTCAGTATTTCTAGCATCTAGTAATTTATCCTTAGCAGATCTCGGAATCAGAGTTATCAGAAAACCTCATCTCATCAGACACAGCGCTTCACTGAATCTAAATCGCCTGCTAGTCCTGGGTCCACACTGCAGGCTGGGCAGCACCCTAACTCTGTTACCTTCCTCCATGCCGCCTACTGTACTCTAATGTCCTTCAGAAACTTCGGCAGAGTCTCTCAACCTATCTAGAATGGGACAATGCAGAAGACCCCAGACTGTCACATGCACAACACAGAGGTTCACGCCACGTGACGGCACCGCTAGGAAGTTCTGCTATTAGAACTGACGCTCGGGGAGCTTAGCGCGAACTACAGTTTACTGTCTCCCACAAGTACTGCCTGAAAATCTGACAGGTGTGCCGCCATGGCCCCACGCGGCCAGATGTGCAACGGGCAGTAACTCCCACAGGCTGTCATCACACCTGCGTCACTGTGCTCCTTCCCGCAGGCACCTACTAATAAGCTTGGCGCGGCTGCTGGGGTACTTACACACGCTCCTATTTCCACATCATGTTCAAAAAGTGCTTTTTTTTTTAGACGATTCTCTTTGACAGTTACATTTTCCAAGTGTATAAGCTGATGACTTTATACCAGTGACCCTAGGAGTGGCTCTCAGCCCCCCTTCCTTCTCTGGCTTGTTAAAATTTGGAGCCTCTTGGCAACCCTTCACATGCCCAGTTTATATGCATTCTTCTTCTAAGGCACTCTACAATTTTAAACCTGAACACAGGCCATACTCTACCCTCTCCTGAAAGCAAAAGATGAACAGGTAAGGGAGGGTAGCTAGTGGGTCCAGATTTCTTTTTGCCATCATGAAAACCTTCTAAAACTGCGGTTATAGGTGCATATACCTGTGAACACAATAAAACTTCTGAACGGTTCACTTTAAAAGGTGGCTTGTGTGGTATGTCAGTTACAGCTCAGTAAAGCTATCCTCTGAGAAAGAGAAACTGAAAGCTATTTGCGCAATTTCTGAGCTGAACAGCTACCTGGATTCACATGTAAAGCCCCCTTCCTTTTCAAGGACAACACTGTCATCTATATACAGGTGGGGAGGAAATGCCAATGGAATTTCCTCACCTGATAACCATGATACTCATGTACCTGTGTGAACCCTCACCTTCTGGACACCACTCACCTCCTACCTTCTGAGGGACTCCCTGTCTTTCTGTCATGCCCTTCTCATATAGTCAGCTCCCTTCTCAGTTGACTTTGTCTATCAGTTTTAAAACAGGATGAAGACTCCCAGTAACAAAGCTCAGTGAACTCTCCCATAATCCCCCGCCCCAAGCCCTGCTGCCCAACTCCCATGATGACTTTCTCTAAACACCTGCCCGAACTTACAACCCAACGTATCTCTTTCATACTCACTCTTCAGACAACCCCCAGTGGCCTCTACACTTAGCATTTCACAACTTAGTCACCAATGACCCACCTGCCATTAAAAAAAATTTAGTCTTCTTCCATGTGAGCTCTTGGCAGGACCTGAAGCTGGCTACGGCCTTCTTTGAGCCACTCTTGCTTGGCCCTTGTGACGTTGCTTTGTCCCGTCTCCCTGTGTTTCACCCTTAGCTCGTTCTCCTTGACTAGGCCATTTAAATACCAGGTATTCCTCAAGACAGGGAACTTGGCCTCCTTCTCATTCCATCCTCTCCCTAAGTGATCTCATCCACACCCACAGCTCTAATTGACTCCCAAATGCAGATGCCTCCTCATCCCTATCTCTGATCCAGTTCTCTCACTAGCTGGTTAAGTGCCCTGCCTCCACTTAGCTGCCTCAAGATACCTCCAAGCTAACCCATCGAAAACAGTACTCGTGACCTCGCCCCAGCCTGGTGCTCTTTTCCAGTCCTTACTGCAGGGAGACATACCACTATGGTGGTGGCAGCCAGGTCAGACACTGAGGAGCTGTTTTCAATTCTTCCCTCTTCCTCACCCACCCCAGTACCTCCTAAATCTCACAGCCTCTTGACTGGTTTCCTTGAATCCCCTACAATGTATTCCCCAAATCATAAGTCTACCTCTTCACAACACGAATACAATTAACAGCGTCCGCCTCTGCTTTAAATGCTTCAGTGACCTATTGCTCTCAGCCCACCCCACCGCCTGTGCAACGTGCGTGGCCCGGCCCGGCCCACGGTCCCTGACCTGCCCCGCACTCGGCCTCCTCCCCACCACCTCCACTGGAGCTTCTTGCACATGCCCTGCCCCCATTTTCTG